CTACAGTACAAACTGCGATTGTAGTTTGAGTAGCGAACGGAGGTCAGTAACGAAGTAGGGGAGCTCAAAAGCCCCTTCCGATCTTTTGCTCAGATGTATTCAGACAGACTGGCTACATTACACAGCTCAAAGGAACCCTCCCCAGTTGGGGAAAGCTACTGGTGTTTGGGGACGGGTGAAAAAAGCTTTGCCTGCATTGTTAAAATGTTCATTTTGGAGATTCAGCTCAAGGGGGATGTGATCAAAACCCCAAATCAAGCTGACTTTCCAAAACAAATCCAGAAAGCCACAGTCAGGATCGAACTATTGCCCAGGATGTCTCCAAATGAATTTGGATTATTTCAAACCCTTAGATTTTTTTTTCAAATGGATGCAGATATCCAAACCCAATTGACCTACTTCATTTCAAACATTTAAATTGATTTTCCTAACTGATTCAAAATGGATTGATTTTCCAAATCAAAGATTTGAATTGGTTGGGTAGTTCCCATCCAATACTCAGTATTACTTTATAGCCCTTGAGAACATAATTATTTCAAACCTCCAACAATTCTAATAAAATAATTTTCCCCCCTTCCTCAAAGTGCTGGCAAATTGTACTCTGAAAACAGAGTACGTACCTGACTTTGTGGTTGTTTTAGATTGTTCTACCATGAATCTAGATTTTGTATTAAAAGGCATTTGAAAGAAAATGTACTGGGTTCACAGTATGTTAAACATGTAACTGCTGTGGTTAGAATTAAAGAAGAAAAAGCAAAAATGCTCATGATGAAATGGGGAAAGAAATCTTTTATTTTTCCATTTGAATATTCTTGGCCAGTCTTTAAGGCCTATGAGAAAGGAAGAGAAATCAGTTATAAGGCTCTCTTTGTCATTCTATACAGAGGCTTCTCGGCAAAAATTCTCAAGACTACAGGCCCAAGTTTAGGCCTCCTACTAATCATGTTGCAGTGCCCATTTCTATAAGCATTCTAAGCCAGGTGGTGATCTCTCTTTCCTCCTGTCTTCCCCATTCTAGACATGGTGCTCTTCATGTGCTTCTCAGATCTGATTGCCCACTGTATGTGTTAGAAGGTAATTTACTTCAAAGAACAGAAGCATTTTTGAGGCATAGGACCAGATAACAAAACTGGGACTTTCCCCTATTTCTTTAGTGTTGGCAGCCTGGAACAGAGGTGGAAAGTGTGCAAAAACAGAAAAAAATGTTGTGCATTTTGGTCGCAAGGCACCAAAAATGGCAGCCCAGATTTACCTGCTGGATATTGTTCTAGTATTTCCATAGCATACATGTATATCATCTTTCTCCAATGTGGTACCTCCAGAAGTGGCAGGATTTCCAGAATCCCCAGCCAGCAAAATCAAGGATAAGAAAACGCAGATCAAGCTCATTGAACTCCATGTATAACTAACAGGGAACACAAAGGAGAAAAGGATGGGTACATCTCCATAAATGCAAGCCCCATGTATTTTATGAATACAAATTTGTTTGCTTGTTTGAGTATATGATGCTGGAAAGTGTTGACAGTTTTGGGGAATTCTGAACCTTTGGGAGAGAGAATGGAAAATGTTGGAAAATTCATCAGCCTCCCAGTGTATCTGAAACACAGTCTAACTCCCCCAGTTAAAAAAAGAAAACCAAAATGGATTGCGTCCTTGCTGAGTTTAAGGTCTGAAAAAAAGCTTCTGAATGCAGCCATTTCCAGCGTACGTTGGTGCATCTCAAGAACCACCAGCAAGCATCCCGTTTCCATTCACCCTCCGTTCCACCCATTATCTGTAGATGTCAGCATTTAATGGGGAAAGCTGGTCATTATTCAGCAACGTGAAAAAAATTAATGGCTTTCCAGACATTTCTCCTCCCTGCGGTGTGGCTTCTCTGGCGTCACAGTAAATATATTAACAAACGTATTTATTCCTACAAATCGATGTTGGCAGATGCATAAAGGACAAACACAGGAATAAATTAAAGAGATGAACAGCAAGCTGCTGCATTTCCTCGCAAGGAGATCCGCCACCACTTGGGCACCGCCTTTCCCGTGCTTCCTATGGCCATTTTAATGCCTCGTGCTATTTATTGTTTTACATTTATCGACTTCTAAGACATAAACCCGCTCCCAAATCCTTCTGACCACAGGGTGAAAGGATTGTCTCAAATAAATGAAACAAACCTCCTCAATGGATGTCTTCACCTACAGTTTCAGAGCTTTTATTAAACTGGGCCAACTGTTAGGTACCACTTTTTAATTAACATTTATGGGGCAGTATTTTATGACATTAGATCCTCCCCAAAGATTGAGGGAAGGTTGACTTCACTGAAGTATTGAGATGAATGCTTAAAGTTTCTGAGATGGTCAATATTTGGGGCTTTCTATTTTTAACCCATTTTGACTCTCACAAAAATTCAGCACAATGGTTGACTTAAGAATGGCTGACGTAAAGCACTGGCTTTAAGGAGGTCGCATTTTATTCCATAAACCAAAAGGCACCTAAACTTGATTCAACATTTCCAGATCCATCCTGTCCCCAAAGCTGCAACTGGGATATCAGAATTCATTTCTCTAGATTCAGAGATCCTTGGGGGCTGTGTTCACATAACACACGTCAGCTGGTTATGGAATTTTTCCATTTTTCTGGGTTGGCACAATATGCGGAACTATATGCCAACCAGACAAGTTGCTCAACATACTAAGCCCCCAAATACCTACCCAAGCTTAGTGTGTTGCACAAATGTTACACCTTTTCCTGATTGGTTAAGCATGGTGTGTGAAAACAACCTCTAAGGTGCCACCAAACTATACTCTTTAATGGAACTGAAGGGAAGAAACGAAAGACACAGGCAGTAATCATTATCAACTGCATTTTAATAATTGAATGTGCATTCAGTGTAAATGAAATCAAATTGAGTTTCTCTCCAGGACCCATCTGATACTTTGTCCTGGCCCTATTTGCTTTCTGGAGTGCAAACTCTGGCAGATGGTTTGAAAAAACAAGTTACAAATCCCTTCCTCTAAGCCATTACAATCTATTCCTGCCCCTAGGCTTCTTGCCATCCTTTGTGGTGACCTATCTCATCTGCAGATTCCAGGGATCAAAGGCAGAGAGGAACCCAATTTCCATCGGACAGTAGATTTTTGAGAGTGTGCTGTGGGCGCTCTCACAAAATGGCTATAATGTCAAAATAGCAGAAGGGAAATATGGATGCCATTGCTCTCTCTAGCCTGCCCACAATGCTCTTTATCAGCCAGCTTAGCTTGGTCATCCTTTTTTTCTGAATAGGTGGGCAGACAATGGGCTTCACCTGACCATGCACAGCCCAGAAATATTCTTGGAAATAAAGATGATGCGGAGCTTGGTGCTTTTGTACACAGCGGGCCAACATCCCCTGTATTTTTTTAATTAAAAGGAATTTCAAAACTCAGCTTGGGTGGTGAGTCAGCCTGCACCAAGGACAATTCTGCTAACCAGGTGGAGAATTATCATCTCGGATCTCACTCAGATGTGGATTTCTATTCGCAGGATGTCTCACTGGCTGCAGTTTGTAATTGCTCCCACGAGGGCCTTTATGTGACTCTAGTGAATTTGGGGATTCTGAGAAATAAAGAAGTAGCTTCTACAAGCTTGCAGATTTGAATCAGGAAGATCCCCACCAAATCTCAGATTTTCTCCTGGCCCTGAGCCACTGCCAAAGTTGTCAGTGAGTTGTAACGTTCACTGGGACCCTAGGGGAGCTTGTTCAATATATAGTGAGTCATTATATCACTCTCTTGAATTAAGTTCCATGTTTAATTAAACTTAAATGAAATTTAGCTTTGTCCTGCCTGTACCCATACTTCTCCCAGGCTTCCTTTGGGGATGGAGAACTTGGCAGATCACTGAAATAACAAGGAAACCCCACAGAGGGGCAAAAAAGATGACTTTCAAACAATAGATCTCTTTTATTTTTTCCTTTTTCTTTGGAGCTGTTCTATTGATAACAGAATTCTCTAGGTCCTTTCCCTCTTCTCTTCTTCTTCTTCTTCTCTTCCTCCATATGAACACGATTGTTAATTCTGAAGTTTCTATATTCTGTTAAAACTGTTGCATGTATCTATACTTTGTCTCTGTTAGTTCTGTGTAATAAAATTAAAAAGGACAATTCTAAAAGAATTGCATAGCTACCCACCCAAGACATACACACACACATACACACACACAAAGGATATTTGTGCAGATTCAAAAGGAACCCCGCACCCAAAAGAACTCTATTATTATGAATTATCATTATTATTATCATGACTGCTGCTACTTTTGCTGCTGCTGTTAATTATTTAGATAGCCATGTGCACAGTATTTTGCAGGACCCAAGGGCAAAATCCCCTGCCCCAAAGAGCTTACAATCTGAAGGGCAAGGCGGGAAGGGGAGAGACGAGAGGCAGAACAGATCCAGTGAGGCAGAAGGCAAATGAAGTTAATCAGAAATAGGAGGATCTTTTCTTTAACACAATGCAACGTGTTACCAACGTACCCTAAATTCACTATTCTTAATTCTGCTGCAAAATTTCCAATTTAAGGTCAGGAGAGCTGGAAGTAGTTTCAGTGGAGGACAGAAGGAACATTATGGAAAATGATATGCAGAATCAAGGTTGCCCAATGAAAAAACTTCTCTTCCCAATTGAGAATGAAAAGCAAATCCTCTTCCCACTTTTTCAGAAGTTCCCCTTTGAAGAAAAACTCGGCTGCCATGAAGGAGTTTCCCCCAATGCAAATAACAAAAGGGAAATAATTCACAGGCTGACCCCCTTCCCCATACCCAGAGACTATAATGGCCCTTACATACCGCAGAACAGAGATTGGATCCAAAGTGGGGAGAGGTATGAAACAACACACGCGCACACACAACCCCTATTTTCAGGAAAAAAGCCTCTGCAACTCCCCACAATCTTTGGCATCATCACAACCCCTCCTGCCTCCCCACACACAAAATAACTCCTCCAAAGAAACCTCAAAGAAGGTGTACTCACCTTCCATCGTGAACTCTTCTGCAAGGACACAGCAAACCGAGGAAACCGGGGAAGGAGAGAGAGAGAGAGAAAAAACAAAAGAAAGTTAAGGTTAGGGACAACCGATAATCCAGCAAAGCAGATGGGATGAGTGGAAGAGCTTCTCCTCTTTAATTTAAAATGAAAGAATACAACTTCTGTTGGGCTGAAGACTGAATCTGAGCCATGCCCCCCAAGATCAAAGAAGGAAGTAGGGCCAACAAAAAACCACTCCTGGGTTTACCCAATTTTTAGTAGCTCTGAATGGGGTTGGGCTGATTGCGGTTCAGCATCTTGCAGGAACTGATGTCTTCACACGTTGCGTGAATTGTGTATTATGTGATACAAACACAGTTGTTGACTTTTATTAGCCCCAGTTTCAGGTGTTGCGCAAAGCCAGCCCCCCAGCAGATCTGGACAAGCTGCTCTCTTTCAGCCTCATCAGCAATGTGAGAAAAAAACATTGGCCTACCTTACTGGGTTGTGGTAAAGATGACAATTAATAATGCAGATAAAGGACTTAAGCATTTGGAAGCACTGGATCAACAGAAAATACTACTGTATTATTAATGAGCTCTGTCCTGAAATTTCTCAAATGTTTTCCTTTTCTTGCAAGAGAGGCTTCTGCTTTCCTACTTTATGCAAATAGCGTTTGAGAATATATTTTGAATTTCTCTGAGTGGGGATTACAAGCTGAGATGATCGTTGGAGATAACCAAGGGTGCAAGTGCTATTTCTTTTTCTTTTTATGGCTGCCCACGTTGTCCAATCTGAAAAAGCCTCATTGCAGAAATTTCTTTCTGAACTTTTCCCCTGGGGAGTGAACAGAAGCCAGGGAGGCTACAGTCAGCTACAGAGGGCATAGTGCAACGGAAGACAGGACACACACCCTTGGCCGCTTGTCACAAGATAGGTGCCAAACCCTCCACCTCCAAGAATTCTCCAAAGTTCTCTTCTGCACTGGAATGAATTTTGAAAATAAATTCCCATTCTTCCAATTCCATGAAAATGTCCATGGAATCTTCCTTAGTGTTATCCAGTACAGATATTTTTCTGGTTTCCTTTCCACCAATTTAAACCTGAGCTGTTGGCACCCTTTCCCCAGGCAAGGTCCCATTAGGAAATGGGTTGATTTACTCGGATTTAGCTTTTTTAATGGCATTTTGCTACCCCTTCAACATAGCCCCTTGGGTAGGGATGGACCAGACAGCATCAGAGTGCCGCAGCTTTTTCCCTCCAAACATGTCTGCACTCAAGAGAGCTCCAGCAGCTCAATTCAGTTTCAACTTATGACAGCCATCGGTCTGCCCACAAAAACAAACAAGCAAGCAAAAAGAAAATACCAGTTTTCCAACCATGAACCCAAACAAAGGTTTCCTGAGCACGTGCAGATTGCCTCTTGCTTCCCCCCCCCCCTTGACCAAACAATCCATCTGATTAATCAACTCATATTTCAGGTGAATATTATTCATTATCCCATCTCTTGGAGCTGCCCAAATTCTGAGTATGTTGCATTAAGCTGAGGGATTAGATGACCTCCAAGACCTCCCCCAATTTTATACTAAAACTATCTTCAATACCTTTGCCCAATACCATCCTTATTCATTTATTCATTTAGTATTGTTTATGTCACTTCCCATGTATCCATCTCTATGCAAATATCAGGGACCATACTCACAGAAATAAAACCCTAAACTGAAATAAACAAACAAATCTGGTTGGACTGGGTCTTTTCCCCCTAAAGCTCCAGTTTCTGCAATCCAACTTGTGCAAATTTATGCAAATTTCTGGAATGCCATTATGTAGCACAGTTGAGCAATCTGTGGAGAAAGACGGGATGGAGGGATGGAGGGATGGAGGGAAGGAGGGAAGGAGGGACAGGCCCTGCCTCCCCATTTTTTAAATATTAAAAACAATCCAAAACCTTGTGTCATTTCAACAGCACCCCAAGAACTATGCAATTCCTTAAGAAAGAATTATTTACTAAAATCTTTAGTGACACATCTCTTGTCAGGCTTTTAATTGCTAAATTCTTTTAGTACCAATTTTAGTCTCCCTTTTCATTTATGCTTTTAATTTTTATATTCTGTTTTCTTTTTTCTTTTCCATGTATCTGCTGCCTTCAGTACTTGCCAAAGTAGAAAAGCAGAACGTAATTCAAATAACTGACATCCAATGAGTCCCAAGGTTTTGGCATTCTTATATAAAACACCATAAGGTCTACCAGAATGCCATAGTCTCATGAGAACTGGCACTCTCCTGAGATCTCTGCCACCTTTATGAAAGTGTGCATATATACAAATCACCACTCAGAAGGGTCACAGCCTCATGTTGCTCACCCCACCCCCATTCAGCTTTCATTCAAGTATTTATTTATTGTCACCCGTGTTCTGTTTTATTTCTAGCTGATATTCAGGCAGGGCCTTTCCCAGCTCTCCCTGGAGATGCCAGGGATTCTTATTGATCATTTAATCAATTTTACATGACTCCCCATGTTGTTGCCCTGCTAACTGGGCCCTTAGCCATCCAGCAGAAGTCATCTGTGACTGCTAAGCACCAAACCACCTTCCTCTGAAACACTACAGGAGCTTCATCTGGGTGTATGATACCTGAAATGTACTAAGCTGTTATGATTTGGGGAGATGATTCTCCCCCATAACTAATGGTCTCTAATTTGTTTTTATTACCATCTTTATTACTTTTTTGGCCAACAAGAAATTTCATCTTATTGTCTGTTATTTTGGGTAATTGTATTTTATCATTGTTTTTAAAATATTTTATGGTCAGTTAGCTGCCACAGAACATATATTATTGGACAGCCTATATAAAGATTGCAATTTAAAAAAATAGAAAGTAAAATGGATTTATCTTGGAGTGGAGGTTAAAATCCCAGGAACTCAGAAAAGGCTCGCAGCCCAAGGAAGAGGTGAGGTTCCCTGTGGACCAATATAATTCTCTCACTGCTTCCACATTGTACCAGCGACTGGCTAAGGTCCTTAGCAGACTCAGACAGGTAAACTGAGTCACAGCTCTTTGAGAGAGAGCTGTGATTGCAACCCAACCCCCTTCCATAAGCATTGGTGACATCTGTTGGTGGTGGTGGGGGAAACTGAAGGAAAGGAGAGAAACCACACACACACACACACACACACACACACAGCCTGCACTGGTGACAAAACAATGCCAAGCTAATTAATGCAATTAGTAGCAAATGAACAACGCAACACAAGAAGCAATACAACTGTAATTAGCACAGAACTGGGCAAAAATTCAGCATTTTTTGCCATCTGCGAAAAACCTCCCTGTTTGCAAAAGGCAGGTTGCTGGTTATATCAGGACCATGGACAGCAGCAGGGGGGGGGAATCTAGGGACAAAGCAAGCTGTGAAAGGGGAGAGGGACAATTCCACCCCCTCCATTCCTGCCTTGAGGATAGCTGCAATTGGGGCTATGGGGGGGCGGGGCTAGATCCAAACCCTGATTCAGCTCCCCATCCTCAATTACAAGGCAGATTTCACTCAAGGTCCAACAATATTGAGGAGGGAGTTTGAAGCAAGAACAGAACCCCTGCTTTGCATGAATACAATCTTGGATTCAGTCCTGGGCGGTTCTGCCTAAAAGAGTTGTTAAACTATTAGGGGATCTCTCTCCTTCTCTTTCTGGCAGAGTCCTAGAAAGAGTAGCCGGGTTCCCACAACACACGCAATGCATTTAATGCCAGAGTGATCAGCTTAAATGCTCACAATTTGCTCAACGTTGAGTTTTAGCCCTAGTTCATTATTTGGTGGCACAACGTGATGTGTGTGCCCAGCCTGTTTGCTTAATTTTAGGATTCAGTGTATTGTGCAAATCCAGGAAACAGGTGAATTCAGGAACTGGATTATATGGGTTGTGTGACACAAGCATCAAATTGAATGGATCAAAAGCCGGCAAATTTTGGCAGCCCAATTGCCCAGATCGTAAGCAAATGCTTTATGTGCCACTGTGCAGAGTCCACGTTGTGGGTGTGCCGGGGGAAGGAAGGACTCGCAGCATGTAGGATTTGCATCTTTTATCTGCCTCCAGATGCATTTTCAAGTTGATTCCCCACACACACCAGAAACGTTCTTCCATCATCAACTGGTGCAGTGCTGAGCAAACCTTTGGAGCCATGCCCCAAGTAAAGCTGCTCTCAAGAAAAAGAGAGAGGGCTTTTACACACACACACACACCACACCACACGCATTCTCTCTCCTGGCAGCCGAGTCCGCGGCCGACCTTGATCTGACCTTGCAGGGAGCACCCAGCCTGACTAGGCCTGGAGCCCCTGCGACAAGAGAAACAGCTCAGCAAGAAGAGGGGGGGAAATGCGCCCATCACAGAGAGCATGGCTAATGGGAGGAGGCAATGGGTGGCACTGAAGCCCTGAGCATGACATGCGCAGATGAGAGAGGAGAAAGAAAGGGATGCAAAATTATACAAGCAGAACCGGGGACTGGCAAAGGAGACACAGCAGAGCAGAAAGAAAACGAACAGCGAATGAAAAGGGAGCAGATTCAGGCATGACACTCAGAGGCTCAAGCCAGAAAGGCCATTCAATGCGAATGTGTTTTAGCTGAGGGAAACCATTCTCTTTGTCGAACTAAAAATTTCCCTCCCCGCCTTTCAAGGCTGCTCTCGCCTTGGTGGCGTTTGTCCCCACCACAACCCTGGGGGGAGGTTAGAATGAGAGAGGACAACACTGAATTTGGCTCCTGAATCAAACCATTTGCTGGGTTTGTACATCACAATTCATCCAGGCTTTTTTTAAAAAATAAGCTGGATTCAGAGAAATCCAGCTGCTAGGCCTTTAACCACATTATGTATGTTATGCAAGGACAGCTAGTTAAGGCTTATAAACCAAGATTGATGGCTTAATGTGTGGTGTGCACCTGGCATCGTCTAACCTGACAATCCACCCATCAAGCCATGTTAACAGCCTGCGTTTCTTTTAAGAGAGACACTGAAATCTGGGCTCGCTAA